TAAATGCCACAGTTTTCAATAACTTTATTATTCATTTTGGTTTATATAGTTTTAGTTATTTTAGTATGTCAAGTTAAAGGGGTCATAAGACGTTGCTAAAACTAACATTATTTTGAGGTTTGAGGTTTAAGGTTCAAAAAACACATTATTTTCCAACGAGGCGTTTTAGGAGAGCGTGGACGAGTCTTAACTTTTATAAAGAATATCTCTTTGGGTTTGAGACTTTAGTCTTTGCAACTTTAGGGATCTTATCTATTCACGAACAGCTTGTAACACTCCAAAGAGAAAGGAAAACTTGAAATCGCATCATATGACCCCTTTAAACTAGACGGAAATGGAAATGTTGCCTTGGTAATATGTTTTTTATATTTTATTTTATTTCAGTAACTTTTATTTTATCTCAACAAAAATGTTTTTTATGGCTTAATAGTTAAGTAATATTATCCTGCTTGGAACAACATTTCTATCAGCCGATGAGATTGTGAGAAAAAAAAGTGAGAATGCAGACTGTGTATCTCACAATTCAGACTTTTTTTCTTGCAGTTGTAAGGAAAAAAGTCTGAATTGTGAGATAAAAAGTCGCAAATGCCTTTTTCATTTTTTTTATTCGGCGGAAACGGCTTTCATACAACTCACATCTGAACAGCCATGAAAACTTTACAAACTAACTTCTTAACCTTTGCAAAAATGCACAAACGTACTGTGAATTTTCCAGGATTTTATCAGCTAAACTGACATCCTCGTGTACATCTACAAATCAGAGGAGTCAAGCATCAAGGAGTTTCTGCTGATCTTTCCTCTGTCTGTCCCGTTTGAAGTCGAACCCTCCGTCTAACTGCCTGTATAACAGATCCACTTCAAACTGACACGCAAACAAACCACGATGCATGACTGGAATGACTGCTCACAAACAACAAGAGCAGCCTAAGTAAAGAGGAAAACAAACAGGTTTTTACATGTTCTGAAGAATATATAGTGTTTGCACATGCAAACGATGCCAACAAGTCATGCACTGAGGAATCATGATCTATTTCTCTAATAAAAATGTCACTGTATGTTATGAATATCGCTGGCTCTTTGATGAATTGCTTTTGTTTATTGTCTGCTAAATGCATAAATTAAAGTATAAATCATTCAAATGCTGAAAAACAATGCACACAACTTTAAACCTCTGTTGCTGTTCGGTCATTTTTTTAGCAAAAAAAACAGTGCTTTGGTTTTTTCGTATTTTTTACTTCATTGGAATGGTACAACACTTGGTAAAGGTTTTGGCACTTGCTATTTCTATTATATAAAATAAAATAAATAAATCATGAACATGATTCAAAAACGTTAAATGGCCCTGAATAAACAGTCACACTTCTGTTCAAAAATGACTGCATTAGAAACAAATGGGAAACGAATTTCATCTAGTGGAGATGTTTGAACTGCGCTCAAAACTAAATTTTACCATTTACCACTTGTTTAGATGTTTGGCTTTGATTTTCACACAGTTTTAGAGTAAAACATGTTTTGGAAAATGTATTTAAAAATTTTAAAATAGCATTTTCGTGCATTTTCCATAACAGTAAACTTCTTTAACTTTTTTAATTTCTTAAAACAAACAAACAAACTTAAATCTGTGCACCAAAACATTCAAGATTTATGACAGTTTAAGTTGGAAATTTCATTTTCAGGTCTGTGCTCAAAGTGGAAATGGATCATAACTATTCCATAAATATAATACCATAAAATCCCCTAAAATACAAAACATTAAATAAAAAAAATTATTGAACTTAAATATAGAAAATTCATTTCATTGAAATAAAAAATCTGTCATTTTTGACCGCCACATGAGCAGCACCAGAGGGTTAATACTTAAGTCATAGAGGTTTGATCACATCAAAAACATTAAGCAATAGTAATAGCAATGCCTCCAAATGTCTTTAATATTATTAAATGCTTCTATGCAACTTCCTCATTCCAAGCTTTCTTCTGCAGAACAATTTGTCCATTGAAACAAAGGCAAATGCAACAAAAGCTGCAAAGTATGCATGATGTTCTGGCATGGTATAAGACATTTAATGCCTCTTCCTTCGAGCTTTGAAGAATCACCTCCTTCTTTGGCAGAGGAAGCCTCATGCATGATCGCGCACACACACACACACACACACGTGTGTCAGACACGCAAGATGCATGGAGCATCAGTGCAGCCGCATACGTCACACTACTATGGAAGGTGGACTGGGCCAAAAGTCTTTAAACGGAACACATGAAATTTGAACGTATCAACACACACAGCAGCCAATGAAATTACTGTATTTGAGACTATATTTGCATATGTGAAGTAAAGCTTCATTGGTATATATGTATACAAACATCAGACATGTTTATTCATGAAGGATAATGCATCAGTACATTGTGTGTGATGGCAGTCTTATGTCATTATTTGTCATTTCCTTTTTAGTTGTTTAGTTCAACGTTCTTTTTCAGGTAGAAAAGTCTTAATTTATATGGTAACATTAATTAATTTACTCTAGCACAGGAGATAGCACTAAAGCAATGCCACAGAAAGGATTAAAATGTTGGTAAATCTAGAGGTAAATCTGCTTTAAAAAGTACTACACTTTTGAACACAGCCATAATGTGCGCCGGTTGAGAAACAAGTTCAAATTCAACATCTTAACGCATACTAAAGAAACACAGTGAAAACTGATGCCTTAACACGGCCAGAATGTGTGTCTACACATAGAAAAAGAAACGTGTTCAAAATTGCTGCGTTAACGCGGACGTTGACATGGTCAAATTTCACACGTTCTGTTTAAGGACTTTTGGCCCCGTCTGCCTTCCATATACAATAAACATGTTTATCTTTGGTGAAGGACCCTCGTGTAACCTCATCCCGGACGCTTCATTTAAACATTACAGGCCGTCCTCATCCTTCATCTGTATCTGACCCCGGAACAGAGTCACGCCGCTCGTTTATCTCCATACAAAAGCAGTTAATGAGCGGCACTGCGTTTCAGGGACAGAAAAAGTTATTCTGTAGTGACCCTGAGAGCCGCGCAAGGACTTTCCTCTAATAAATATGAGAAAAAAGTACTGAGGATTCGGTTAAAGATGAAGTGTGTGATGTGTTTGATGTTAAAACACTTTAATCTTTACTTCTCATTTGATGAGAAAGTTCGACCAGTCTGAGAAAGCACCTCTGGCTCAAGCAATGCTGTGGTTTATCTGAAAACTAATTCTGTTTGGTGACGTTAGTTGCACATACAATACACTTCAATCTCCGTTTGCATTGAACTTTCAGCTTCGTAACTTTGCAGATATTGTTTATGCTCAAACAGCATCATTACCCACTAACTAACGTTAAAAAAGTGAAATCGCAATCAACCACCCCTTTAATGCATTAGTACTGTGTGGAAATATTACAAAGTTTACTTAATCAATCTTCATTAAGATTTTGACATTGTCTTGAAAATCCGAGTAAGACTTTTGTGTTTGCAGGTCAAATTGACCCTAATTGGTTTCCATGCAATTCGCCAAAAATCAACAATTAAAAAAAAAAGATTTATGTAAAAACGTGTGTGTATATATATATATATATATATATATATACACATATATGTATATACACTACTACAAAAAATGACAAAAACACAGAACAACTTTACTAAAACCTTAAAATTGGAATGAAAATGGAAAATATAAAATTAAAACCTGTTTCAAAATGTATAAAAACTATAACAGTACCTCAATGATACTAAAGTAACATTGTTGCACTTAATATTTAAAACAATAAATACAACGAAGTATAAAAGGTATTTAGTGTAAATAGTATTTACTGTTATTTGTACTTGGTGTAAATAGCTTTTGCCTTTATTATGTCTGGTTCTCAAACATTTGTGAGGGTTAATTGGGTTTTTCACACTTATTTTCAGTGCTGCTACAGACTAGCAATTGAGGTCCAAAAAACCAATGACCAAAAACATGATTAAAATTTTTTGACTGTGAAACACAGAAAAAACAGTGAATTCTCCCTGGATGCTTCAGAAGACCATCTTTAATTTAAAGTAAACTTTGAGTCTTGATGCCGTGTCCCGGCCGGAGCGACGAGACAAAAACAATAAAAAACCCATTATAAACGAGGCATTTGTTGCATCCAGTTTCTTCTTTCTTTGCGTGAACATTTGGTTGGCGTTATGCAAATCTTCCCACATCGTAACGTAGACATGTGGGGGGGTGTTTAAACGAGGCGTTTTAGGTAGGCGTGGACAAGTCTTAACTTTTATAAAGAATATCTCTTTGGATTTGAGACTTTAGTCTTTGCAACTTTACAGATCTTCTTTATGCACCAAGAGCTTGTAACACTCCAAAGAGAAAGAAAAAATTGAAATCGCATCATATGACCCCTTTAAATTTCATACATTCTCTCGTCTTTAATATTTAGTTTTTGACAAGCTACAATAAAGGATTTCTGATTTTTATCTGATTTTTACATGGAAACCAATGAGGGTCAATGTGACTTTAACATCATCGATGTAATCAAAATGTGTAAAGCCTTTCCAAAGCACATCTGTGTTGAAACTCTGCATGAGAAACAGTCACAACAACATTTCAAGAGATCAAATGTTTAACCAATGTTTCAAGCAGTTTAAAAAAACGACAACACAATAAGTCAAATGGTTCTCAATGCTAAATCTATTATAATGAAACCTGTTACTTGCAATGACTGAACGTCAGCACTGAAATTCATCAGAAAGCTGTTGACAGACTGAACGTCCATTAGAGTCAAGTTTCATGATAAAATGCCGTCAAAGACTGCGTTGAGTGAAGAATGAGACTTTAACAAAGACAAACGATCATCGTAGTTTACCCTCAGATGGATTTCACTGCTGGCAAAAGTGAAGCAACTAGTGGAAGTGTAAAAAAGTGTTTAGTCTAAATGGCATTCAAGACACATTATTTCCATCAACATGTAATTGAGTGAATGTACAAGCATTCAGTTAGAATAATACACAAATATACTTAGTAATGAAGAACAATAATATGAAGATCATTAATTCAGAAGCTTGTCAGCTCGCGTGATTTCAACACAACTCGGATTCTGCAAATGCCATTTTTAATCCAGTCATTGTTGTGGGTCGATGTGCAAAACTGGTTTTTGTGGCCGTCACCAACATTCCTCCTCCACAAGCTAACATGTAAATCCTGCGTTAACAGAGAAACAAGAACATGAGCGTTTGGTTGTTCTGCTTTTAAAGGCAAAACACATTGGTACTGTAAACCACCATCTGCCAAAATCCTGACTTTCCTTCATCTCAAACCAGATCCTAAATCAGGTGCTGAAGACCCACATACTGACACAGAATCAAATTATTAAAGTATAAGCCTGCAGATCCATGCTTTTGACTTTCTGAATAAAATATGGATCACTTTGAAGGTCATTCTGGCCAAAAACTGCACAAAAAAAGTAAAAAAACTTCTGGGTTGCGTCAAAGGAAGGTTTTTGCTTAACTATTGATAAGCACTAACTCAAGTAACCTTGTGAAGTCGTACAACAGCAGGTGAAGATGTGCAGAGTTCAGAAGATCTCGCCGGGTCTCACAAAAACGGACGCCTGACCTGCAGATCATTAACTTTCCTCGTCTCAGTTTTGACAAATTGACAAGAGATAACATGATATTACCGTCAACCTTAATTTGCAAAGAGATGACTTTGCCCTAAAATGGTGAATCTAACAAGAACATGAAATAAAAATAAACAAATTGAAATAAAACTAAAATATTTTTTTTTATTTAAAAATAAAAAATTAAATAATAATAATAACAATAAAAAATTAATTTAATTAAATTAAAAAGACAATTTTAGGAACCATTATGCTTTTATTCATTAAGACATTTTGTGTACACATGCACCCATTTTTGTCTCAAATTCTTATTAATACAATGCCTAATAATAATATACTGTATACACACTATAATACACTTACAGAACAGTATGAGTAGTATGCTAAGACATTTTGTGTACACATGCACCCATTTTTGTCTCAAATTCTTATTAATACAATGCCTAATAATAATAATAATAAATGCATTTAACATTTTATTACTATAATATGCTCAGAATTTCATTGTTGTTGTTTTGTAGCTGTTTTGTTAAAAAAAACTGATAAATAATTATTGCCATTGTTTAAAAAAAAAAAAAAATTTTTTTAATAATAATAATAATAACAACAATAAAAAATAAATGTAATTAAATTAAAAAGACAATTTTTGGAACCATTATGCTTTTATTCATTAAGACATTTTGTGTACACATGCACCCATTTTTGTCTCAAATTCTTATTAATACAATGCCTAATAATAATAATAATAAATGCATTTAACATTTTATTACTATAATATGCTCAGAATTTCATTGTTGTTGTTTTGTAGCTGTTTTGTTAAAAAATAGATAAATAATTACTGCCATTGTTTAAAAAAAAACAAAAACAAACTGGCATACATTGTTTTATTATTATTGTTTTGTCAGCATAAAGCCAGTACAACAAATACTATCATCTCTAATAAATACTTTCAAAAAAATATTTTTTTCCTCATTAAAGTAATAAGGATGTGTTTAATTGTAAAGAAAAAAAGATATAAAATAGATTCTAAAACCAGCCTTGACTGTATCGTATTTCTTTTTTTCTCTCTTTAGATTTTGATGTAAAATATGACCCAGACATATTCTTGACAGGTTTCGCCTCCAAAAATCTTAATTCAAACTAAACGTCACTAAAAAGCGTTGCACATTAGAAGCTGCTACATTAATTCCATTGTAAGGGCCACAGTGAAGCACAAGCATTCTGGCACTTTCTCCAGCTCTCTAAATGAACACATTAGGAGCCACAATGGTGGTGTTAAAGTCTTCGTGGGAGGCCGCTGGTTTAAGATGAATTAGGAAAGCGATATCCCTCCATAAACCGCTGGAACGGCCCCCTCCTCAGTCTCCATCTATACAGCTCCGCTCAACTGGACCAAACTCTCCCAGCGCCTCATAAACTCAACCTGAGACGCACAAATCTATTGTGTCTGTGTCCTTTGCACTTACGTCTGCCCTGACTGCCTCCTGTCCCACAATGCTCCTCTGTTCTGGGGCCGTCCCGCGAGAACCGCACATAAAGGACGCTGAAGCATATATCACAAGGTTCATACAACACTGTGACCGAAGCTCAGGCTCTCCAGAAAGAGCAAAGTGGAGAAAGAGGTTTCCTCACTCATTCCTCTTTCTGTTCATGCCGCTTATCGGGTTCCAGACTGAAGCTATGAAAGAGAAAACGACATGAGAACAGAGAGAGAGAGAGAGAGAGAGAGAGAGAGAGAGAGAGAATTGTTAGGTTAAAGGACACAGGAAAATCACTAGAGAAACGTGTTATTGACCAGATGTTGCTCTTTCATGGTTCAGGAGATGTTAAATGAAGTACCAACCTTGTCTGAATTGCTTCTAAAATAAAAATAAATAAATAAATAAATAAAAAATAAAAATGCAATACTTGCTTTTGGGACTATCATTATTTTTTAATATTAAATTAAATTTGGCATGTTATCCCCTCAAATCCTTCCTGCTGTAATGCAATGCAATAAACAAACAAATAAATAAATATTCATTACTGTAATGTGCATGATTGTTTTACTGGAATTTTTTAATATTAAATCCCACGGCACACCACGAAGCACAAAAAAAAAAAAAAAAAAATTTTTTAATATTTGATTTTTTTTTTTTTTTTTTTGGTAATTAAAATTATTCTCAAAACGTAAAAAAATAAATAAAAATAACCATATGAAATTTATTTATTTATATTGTATTTTTTTTTAGAACAATTTTATTTTATTATTAAGTTCAAAGCCAGTAATACTGAATACTAAATAACCATTAGACGTTAGATGCTTAAATAAAGTGCCAACCTGGCCTCAAAGTTTCCTCAAAAATATATATAAATAAATACATAATAATAAATAAAATACTTTGCATTTTAAAAAAGAAGCTTGTTTTGGGGATTTTTTTTTCATACAAATGTAGCAGGTTTTCTCCCATTCTCCCTTAAAAAAATTAATTCAAAAAATCATTACTGCAGTCAGTGTGCATTAATGTTTAATGCATTGCATTTAATTTTAATTTTTGGAATTACTGAATATTGGAATTGTTTTGCAATTCCAATTATTCTCATTGACAAAAAGGTTAAAAAAAAATCTGTCATACAATGTTTATTTTTCAGTATAAAGCCATTAAGACTAAATACTATGTTTAAATAAACCTTTAAAACTAACTTTTTTTTTTTTTTTGCTGAAACTTTCTAGAAGAAATAAGAACTGGAAATATATATATATATATATATATATTACACACACACACATATCAGTAAATCAGTATTGATGTTTAGATGTAGAGGAGATTCGTGTGAGATTTGTAGTGACAGAGAAATAAAAATGAGTCTGGAGAAACTGCACGTACCTCATGAGTTATTTCCAGGACTAATGTGGAATATGTACTGTAGATAAAAACAGGTCCTGAGAGACTGAGAGTATTATTTTTACACAAAGCTGCAAAGAGATTATCATGATTGAATGTAACGTTCAAATGATGACGTGTTTAACACAAAATCCAAACCATACAGTGATAATCAGAGGGAAATGAAGGTCAAACACAGGCTGTTCAGAATGAAATACTCACATACTGCGCTCGCCATACACTGGAGAAAATGATTTTTTTGCAAAAAACTCAAAACTTCATGTTTAATTTAATGTGTTACTTGGCATTTCTTTGTTCTTGTGAAATGTACTGGCAATTATTTAGCAAATAAGGTTTTAAAGTAAATCCTACAACAATTTTTTTTGTTCAGTGCACTCAAGGTTCAGTGTACAAACAAATATTTCTTTTAAAAAATAAATTAAAATAAAATAATCATAGCTTGGTTTTGGGACAATTACATGTACATGCATATACACACATTTAGCTTGTTTTCCCCTCAAATTACTTTTACTGTAATATATTATTACTGGACAATTTTGGAATATTAGAATTGTTTGTAATGACAAAAAACAAATTTAATTAAAAAAAGTAGTAGCACAAAATACAATTAATTAATTAATAAAATAATAAAATAAAATAAAAATATTAAAGAATTAAACATTGAAGCTTGTTTTGGGACCATCTCATTTTTTTTCATACAAATTCAACTTGTTTTCTCCTCAAATCCTCCCTACTGCAATGCAATGAAAGAAACAAATAAACAAAGATTTTTTGGAATAGAATTGTTTGTAATTCCAATTATTCTCAATGACAAAAACATTTTTTAAAAGTTATTGGCACAACTGTTACTTGTTTATATATACTGTATATATATATATATATATATATTCTAAAACCTGAAATAAGAAAAAATAAAACAAAATAAAATAAAGATTTTAAAGTAAATCTTACACCAATTTTTTCAATGGACTCAAGTTTCAGTATACAAACTTGTCTCAAACTTTCTATTCTATTCTAAAATACAATAAAAATATATAAAAAATAAAATAAAATTTAAAGCGTTAGAATTGAAGCTTGTTTTTGGGACCATTACATTTTTATACAAACATACGGCTTGTACAGCTGTGTCAGTCACATGTTACCAGTGTTGGGGAAAGTTACTTTTAAAAGTAATGCATTACAATATTGCGTTACTCCATAAAAAAGTAACTAATTACGTTACTTAGTTACTTTTTATGGAAAGTAATGCGTTACGTTACTTTTGCGCTACTTTTTAAATCTGGACAGGGCTTGCTTGTTTGTTTTTAAAATAAAAAAGTTCTATTTTTGGCAAATATAAAAGTCTTTTCACACCAAAAGTGAAATGAATAAGCCTCAGGCTGAAGGGAAAGTAAATTTACGTCCGTACAGTAGAATGCAGAAGAAGACATTTCAACACACTTCAGCAGTAAAAAAAAGACACAAATGTTTGTCTAGAGTAATTTTTGCTTATTAGTATGGGACTAAGACATTGGTTAATAGAATGGGATTAAATACATAACAGGATATTTGTGTTGTTTAACATTTAATTATTGCAGGTTTGCGTCATATTCTGAGTATTTCACTGTAACATCTTCTGATTTCTCTCAACATGGGGACAGGAGAGCTGTCAATCAATAAATTGGAAAAAAAAGTAACTCAGATATTCTCTTGTAAAGTAAAAAGTAATGCGTTACTTTACTAGTTACTTGAAAAAAAGTAATCTGATTACGTAACTCGCGTTACTTGTAATGCGTTACCCCCAACACTGCACATTACCTTATTATGTTTGTTTATTATGTACGTATTTTTAATCAAATTTTGTGCAAAAAAAAAAAAAAAAGGTCTCAACTTTTTACAGTCTCACCAAAATAGTAAGTCAAGAAAGAGACTGCGGTTGAAATTCGGTTCATTTGACAAGAAAATGGAAGTCGAGTTGCAGCGTGGGTCTGTTGCATAATGCACACAACTGTAATATATGTCATCCAGGAACTTTATGCATTTAGAAATATCATACTGTGCACAATATGCATGCTGCAAAAAAGAAAGCAATGTGGTAGGATGCCATTCCGAACATAACGCTTTTTCGGGAGTATCACCGGAGTATAAACGAATCTTCATTCATTTCTTAAAAAGATTCAAGTTCATTGAGTTTGAACTGATTTCCTGGTAAATTAGGTCACTGTCGGTGCATGAATCGCACTGATTTCTGAGCATCTTTCTCTGCTTCAATACAGTCTGATGTCCATGTCTATTCATATATTAGTGTACACAGGAAAATATAACATGTAGGTTTGATAATGTGAGGAGGAATGTGGTTTCTTTCAGCCGGCAGTCGGTTTAAACTCTGACTGATGGTGCCGTGACTAAACTGTAATCCCATTAACACACTGATGTTTTAATGCTTTTAAGGAACTGGGTCTGAAAATAACCGAGACCCAGAAGCCTACTTAAAGTTTGACACTCGGCCGAACCTCTCGCCTCAGATTTAACCAGATGCACCGCTTATTACATGCACCCATGTTCAGCTGAAGTAGAGCTCCTGTACTTTGACTTTCCATCATTAAAACAGTTCTGTGTCTTTACAGTGCTTTAAGTTACTCAAGCACAGAGTCGCTCATCCCGAGAGCACCGACGTGCAGAAATTCACAGGATTTATGTCAGTGGCTTATTAACTCGAGTAATACTTTCAGTTTAATATCTGCGAACCTGAGCGGTGACCAGAAACATCACTGTTCAACTGCAAATTCAAATCGAAGGAAAAAAAGTGTTTATGCAATATTTTACACAGACGCAAACAGTTCTTTAGCTTTTATTTCACACTAAATCATTTAGATAAAATGGATGGTGCTGACTGGTCAATCCTGCGTTTATACACAGGTTTGGGTTTTTGAATGAAGCCTCTTCTGCTCATCAAGGTTGCATTTATTTGATCAAAAATACAGTAAAAACAGCAATATTGTGAAATATTATTACAATTTAAAAGAACTGTTTTCTATGTGAATATATAGTAAAATGTAATTTATTTCTGTGATCAAAGCTGAATTTTCAGCATCATTACTCCAGTCTTCAGTGTCACATGATCTTCAGAAATCATTCTAATATGCTGATTTGCTGCTCAAGAAACATTTCTGATTATTATTATGTGATTGTTATTATAATTATAATGTGATTAATTTAGTTTTTCAGGATTCTCTGGTGAATAGAAATGTAAAAAAAGAACAGCAATTTTTTAAAATAGAAATCTTACGTAACATTAAATGTCTTTAATGTCAATTTTGATTAATTAAATGTACCCTTGTTCAATAAAAGTATTAATTTACTTTTAAAAATACAGTACTTTACAAGTCAGAAACTACTGCTGTCCCATCAATGATGTATAAGGAAACAAAATGGTAACACAAATGTCAAATATGACAATGTTTAAATATCAAAGTCTTTTAGTAACCAAACTGCAAACAAAGTTTACAGGTGCATCTCTCTAAATTAGAATGTCGTGGAAAAGTTCATTTATGTAAATAATGCAACAATGATCAACAAGATAATTTACCATCTTTTACACCCCTGACCCTGCAAATGTTTGCTAAAGTGGTTTTAACTTTGACTCATTGATGCATTTTTATTTGCTAAAAACTCTTGAGTTTACCATTAATGGTGTTCACCAATGCAACAAAACTCATTTTTTTTCCAAGCTGAAAGGAAAAGATATACATGCATACATACATACATACGTATTTGAGCAAAGTTGGCATTGAATTTGCTTGAGAAAAGAAATAAGACATTTAACAGCAGCTTTTATCTGAATGAACGATGCTTTCACGTCTGGAGTGTCAGTAACAGCTGATGCCATAATGCTAACCCTGTCATCTTTTCTTCATTTTACAAAACAGATCAATCCATTAACCGAGTGCAAACCTCTCTTCAATTACTGAGGAGTTTGAACATTTCCATACTGACCACTTAACTCATAATTATATATGCAACACAAGTTGGGCTAGTTCTTTAGTTTGTGTTTTCTAGGCCAGTTCTCATCACACGTCTAACCTAATTTGTCTGCACTAATCAGTAAAAGTGTAGAAGTACAAGCGCTCTGTCAGGCCGAGACTTCCAGCACTCAACTTTCAGCTATTCAGAGATGGTCTCCATATCACACGCTATGAATTATTTATATATGCAAATACAGAGCTTCAACATGCATTAGCTAAGGCCCTCCCCAACCTCACTGCCGCTTACAATAAACAAACATCAGCTTTCTTATGCACTGACATTTCTCAGTCTCTTTTTCTTGATAAGATCCAAATGTTTTGATGTTGTTATTTTGAGTCAGTCTTTGGCCACAGATGAAATGTTGGTCATAGTGTCTTTTGTAATGTGAAAAATGATAGCGCCCCACCGCAGAGCTCTCTGTTTCAGGCGGATGCTATTGACTTACTGTGTGTGTTTGCTTCACTGGCTACAACAAATGAAGCTGGAGGGACGCACAGCAGTCCGATGTTTGCAGATAAGGGAAGACACGAGACTCATTCAATATCACTGACTTCAGTCCTCAACACTGAGCTACTCCTGTCCTGTCCTGTGTCCTACGAAATACAAAAACACTTCAAATAGGTGAGCGACAGATGGCAGGCGGCACATTTAAACCCTGCTAAATATTAACTAGTAACTGCTGTTCGGTGTCCGAATTTGTATTCAAACAGCAGCATGTCAGACCTAATGTTTGATTAAGTATCAGGTGCTTGCAGTTTCCAATGCTTAAAGGAATAGTTCGCCCAAAAAGGGATGCTCTGCACTGAATGGGTGCCGTAAGAATGAGAGTCCAAGCAGCTGATAAAAGCATCACAATAATCCACACCACTCCAGTCCACCAGTTAATGTCTTGACTTTGGAGAAGGGAAAAACTGTGTGTCTAAGAAACAAAACCATCAATGTGCTTTAACATTTAACAGTCACTTCCATCTAAAATACGAGTCCATAATCCATAATAACGCTTCTTCCAGTGGAAAAAGTCCATCTTCTGTTGTCTCTCACATCAAAATCAAGCCACATATTTATTTAGAACTGTTTTGGCTTTTAAACAGTACATGATCTGTGCAGATTTCTCTCCTGATTCAGACAAGATGTTTATTTTTTACTCGAGGAAGCAAAATAATGAATAGAAGACTCATATTTTAGCCAGAAGTAAAAGTTTGAAGTTAAAAACATCACATTTCTCCAAATCTGATGAAGAAACAAACTCATCTACAACTTGGATGGCCTGAGGGTGAGGACATTACTGCAAATATTCATTTTTGGGAGAACTATTCCTTATTTGTACGACAACCAAGCAATTTGCAGTGTATATAACAATAACTGGACTTTTTCATGAAACATGACCAAACAAATTTGTATAAATCATATGTACAGCAAATTAAATGTGGCAACTTCTGTCCGAATTCATTTCGAAACGATTTACACAACAGACATTTGTTATGTTAACACTCGTTCACACCAAGGATGATAATTATATGAATAGAAATTATCCTAATTCTATGATACTATAAAAATAATGACATAGAGGAACAATATCTTTGGAATCACTTTCAGAACAATTTTTTTTTTCCAGCTGACGAACGATAAACATTAAACCAATCAGAATCTACTCGACTTCAAAGAGCTTGAGCATTTAAAGCAACAGGCGACAAAAATTCAGCGCACGCTTATAATAAACAGAACTATATCATTTGTTGGTGCGGATGCTAATATCTTCATTGTTATATTTGTCGTTCTTGGTGTGAACAGTATTTAAAGGGACAGTTCACCCAAAAAGAAAATACTGTCATCATTTACTCACCCTCAAGATGTTCCAAACCTGTACGAGTATCTTTCTTCCGTTGAGCATAAAATGCATTATTTTGAAGAATGCTGGTAACCAAACAACTGACGGTAGCCAATGACTTCCATAACTATGGAAAAAATACGATGGAAGTCAATGGCTACCGTCAACTGTTTGGTGAAATAATTTTTGGGTGAACTACCCCTTTAAGAATCGTTATTTTGCAATTCCGCTTCACAACAGCTTTAAATACTGCCAACAAATTCAATGTATCAACTGCAAAAAAACAAAACAAAACAAAAAAAAGTAAAAAACCAATGACGCATTGAGTTTGAACAAAAGAGCATAGCGCTTTTATAATAATTATATCAAGTCCTTTACAAATAAGTCACCGTGTACAGCAGCCTTTTGCATGGCAAGTTTCACAGAGTCCAGAATTCATCGATGCAACATGTGCTGCAAGCCCTTACGGATCAGTCTCCCATACCGAGACAGAGATCAGATATTTCTGAGATATGTTCTTTCATCTCCTCAGCTAGAGATCAAATCATCAGTCTTTGAATTGAAAAAACATCTTTGAGATCAAACACAAAAGTATCAGATACGGTTTTGATAACTCGCATGAAACCGTGCATAAGGAGCGCAGCAAGAACCTCAAACACAGATTCACTCAGGTATGTAACCAAAGTATTGTCATGTGACAGCACATCATTTTTATGAATGCTTATTTAATGAATCTCACGACATCTTATGTCCAAGTCACATTTCCCCCCCCAAAAAAAAAAAAAAATTTTGCATAAAGAAAATGTTTTATGAATGCTTATTTAATGAATCTCACGACATCTTATGTCCAAGTCACATTTCACCCCCCAAAAAAAAAAAAAATTTTGCATAAAGAAAATGAAGCCTATTTTAGGATCATTCAGATTTTTTTGCATCGTGACATTTTCATGATGATTATACAAGTTTTTCCTACAAATTCTCATTACCGAAATGTGTCTGGATGCTTTACTTTTGAGTGATTTAAACTACTGTAATACTGCTGTTGTTACTGTATTACATTAGAAAAATTGAGTAATACAATTATTTTATTTAAATCAAAATAAAGAAAATAATACTGTTAAAAAATGAATATTTTACTTTTTTTATAACAGTAATAAGAATTGTTAATTTATAAATTCATTCATTCATTCATAATTCCCATTCCTAATTATTAATGAAGCCCTAAAAATAAAAATAAACTAATAATGTCACAATGCAAAATATAATTTCCTATTCTTTTACTTTGGGGTGAAATATTCTGATATTCACTCTATTAGCATATCTTATATATTTAGCTGTTAATAATGATGCTTCTGAGAAGGTACAACAAACTGCATGTAATTTTCTCCAATTAAGAGTCGTTTACTTGTGGATAACGAGATGATAATTACCTGCATGGGCAGAGAACATCATGTTGCATTTATATTGTTCTACAGAAACTACACAATGCTAGAAGTGCAGAAGAGTAACAGCTGTAAACCTGATTTAGTCCTGACCTAAGTGTGTACTAATTGTTTTTTTTTTGTTGTTTTTTTTCTCTCGGAGTAATGAGTAAATCAAAGGAGTTTCCTTGCTAGGGAAAGGTTGTGAGTGTGGATTTGTGACTGTGTGTGAACGTGTGTCAGTCTCTTGCACGTGGTGGTTGGTAATATTGTTGTGTCGGTCGAGAGCGGCGAGGTTGTCCGTCTCCTCCTCTTCGAAATTCAAGGGAATTCTCATAGTAAATGTCTTCGTCATCCTGTAAAGAAATTACCAGGAATGAGTGACTAATGTTACTGATAAATGCAAGTCTACCGCATCAGTCATGAGAAACAGAAGTCAGACTGGTCTTTAAATAAAAACAACACAGCCCAAAAAAGTCTATCTGGGAATTTGGAACAATCCAAACCAAAACAAAACTAAATAAAAAATAAATTTAAAAAATAATGTAAAATTAAATGTAAAAAAAACAACAAACTAAATAAAAATTAATTGAAAAATAAATAATTCATCAATAAAAATGTCTATATAATCAATAATAAAAACAGTACAGTACTATATGCACTGTACTGCTTAATAGTAAAAATAAATAAAGTAACTTAATAGAAATTAATATTTTCCAAATCATATTTTAGACATATTAATAATACAAACAGAAGACAGACTGGTCTTTAAATAAATAAAACAAAACCGAAAGTGTAAATCTGGGAATTTGGAACCAAACAAAAAATAAATGTATTAATAATTTTAACTTGAATTCAAATAAAATAAAATAAAAAATTAAAATATATTTAAATAAGAAAATTAAAAATTATTAAATAAAAAATATATATAATTAATAATAAAAAGAGTACAGTACTATAATGTATAATGTACTGTTTAATAAAAAAAAACAAGTAATAATGTAACTTAAAAGAAACAAAATATTTTCCAACTAATATTTCAGACATATTTATAATAATTTTTCACAGTAAACTGGGTCTTTATAGAAGAAAATATATAAAACACTTTTAAATTTTAGGATGGGGGGTCCCTCACACAAAGAGGTTCGAAAAGATTGAAAAGCCCTGGCATAATTAGTCGCATGAAACCGTGCATAAGGAGCGCAGCAAGAACCTCAAACACAGATTCACTCAGGTATGTAACCAAAGTATTGTCATGTGACAGCACATCATTTTTATGAATGCTTATTTAATGAATCTCACGACATCTTATGTCCAAGTCACATTTCACCCCCCAAAAAAAAAAAAAATTTTGCATAAAGAAAATGAAGCCTATTTTAGGATCATTCAGATTTTTTTGCATCGTGACATTTTCATGATGATTATACAAGTTTTTCCTACAAATTCTCATTACCGAAATGTGTCTGGATGCTTTACTTTTGAGTGATTTAAACTACTGTAATACTGCTGTTGTTACTGTATTACATTAGAAAAATTGAGTAATACAATTATTTTATTTAAATCAAAATAAAGAAAATAATACTGTTAAAAAATGAATATTTTACTTTTTTTATAACAGTAATAAGAATTGTTAATTTATAAATTAATTAATTCATTCATAATTCCCATTCCTAATTATTAATGAAGCCCTAAAAATAAAAATAAACTAATAATGTCACAATGCAAAATATAATTTCCTATTCTTTTACTTTGGGGTGAAATATTCTGATATTCACTCTATTAGCATATCTTATATATTTAGCTGTTAATAATGATGCTTCTGAGAAGGTACAACAAACTGCATGTAATTTTCTCCAATTAAGAGTCGTTTACTTGTGGATAACGAGATGATAATTACCTGCATGGGCAGAGAACATCATGTTGCATTTATATTGTTCTACAGAAACTACACAATGCTAGAAGTGCAGAAGAGTAACAGCTGTAAACCTGATTTAGTCCTGACCTAAGTGTGTACTAATTGTTTTTTTTTTGTTGTTTTTTTTCTCTCGGAGTAATGAGTAAATCAAAGGAGTTTCCTTGCTAGGGAAAGGTTGTGAGTGTGGATTTGTGACTGTGTGTGAACGTGTGTCAGTCTCTTGCACGTGGTGGTTGGTAATATTGTTGTGTCGGTCGAGAGCGGCGAGGTTGTCCGTCTCCTCCTCTTCGAAATTCAAGGGAATTCTCATAGTAAATGTCTTCGTCATCCTGTAAAGAAATTACCAGGAATGAGTGACTAATGTTACTGATAAATGCAAGTCTACCGCATCAGTCATGAGAAACAGAAGTCAGACTGGTCTTTAAATAAAAACAACACAGCCCAAAAAAGTCTATCTGGGAATTTGGAACAATCCAAACCAAAACAAAACTAAATAAAAAATAAATTTAAAAAATAATGTAAAATTAAATGTAAAAAAAACAACAAACTAAATAAAAATTAATTGAAAAATAAATAATTCATCAATAAAAATGTCTATATAATCAATAATAAAAACAGTACAGTACTATATGCACTGTACTGCTTAATAGTAAAAATAAATAAAGTAACTTAATAGAAATTAATATTTTCCAAATCATATTTTAGACATATTAATAATACAAACAGAAGACAGACTGGTCTTTAAATAAATAAAACAAAACCGAAAGTGTAAATCTGGGAATTTGGAACCAAACAAAAAATAAATGTATTAATAATTTTAACTTGAAAATAAAATAAATAAAATAAAAAATTAAAATATATTTAAATAAGAAAATTAAAAATTATTAAATAAAAAAAAATAAAAAGAATAAAAAGAGTACAGTACTATAATGTATAATGTACTGTTTAATAAAAAAAAACAAGTAATAATGTAACTTAAAAGAAACAAAATATTTTCCAACTAATATTTCAGACATATTTATAATAATTTTTCACAGTAAACTGGGTCTTTATAGAAGAAAATATATAAAACACTTTTAAATTTTAGGATGGGGGGTCCCTCACACAATGAGGTTCGAAAAGATTGAAAAGCCCTGGCATAATTAGGGTTAGGTATCGTTTGGGTTTTTTACGATACCAAATCGATACTTTTAAAACGGTACCGTGCCTAAATGGTGCCTGGACCGATACTTACAAAAAAAGAGCCACAAAATGATGGTGGATGACATTAAAGAATGGCTTTTTTATTGAAAGTATACGGAGAGTATACGGAAATATATATATATATATATATA